GCTACCCCAGCCTTATACTCAATTGACTTTTACTTCGTTTTCAGTTACGCAAACGTCGAAACGAGTAAAGTCGTTGACGTCTATTTCGACTANACAAGAACCACGCAATTTGGACTCCGATTGACCATTTTATGATTTTGGGAGTCGTTGAAAAAACGGTTTTCCAACAATCCAAAAGTTGTGCCTTCGTACAAGCTTCGAACGATGCCTTCTCAATCCTCATCTCGGGCATATTTTACCTCAAATCGAAGCCCTTCAAGTCACAATCAAAATGCTTATGTTTTTAGGTCAGCTCGACTTCGACTCTTCGAGATATGTCTGTCGAAGTGAAGAATGGTCACGCATAAAAATCTGCATAATGTGTTCTCTGAGAAACCTTCTCTCTAAGATTTTCCTCGACTCGATGTTCAGCTCCATGCGTGCCATGTATCAAAAACTTCCTCTCGACGAGGGAACAATATACTAAAATTTGAGCTAGATCATCTTCGGGGTCAATGGAATACAAGCCAACTTTCTCATTTTTGGGAGAGCGCATCAGCTTTTTACTTTTTTTAGTAATTGGTTTTGCTATTTGCACATGAATAGTAAACAACCTTCCTTTTTTAAGAAAGTAAGACCTAGAAAGATTTGGGACCTTCTGAAACTGTCTGCAGTGGTCTGGTGATCATCCGACATCACCCTAATAGAGCTCTAATTATAGGGTAGCTCGTGCACATTAGAATGCAGCACTCCACACTGAACCTTCATCTTTTTCCATCGCGCCTTTGTCAGGTTGGGGCGAAATTTCTTTTTCCATCGCGCCTTTGTCAGGTTGGGGCGAAATTTTGAGACGGACGTTGGGATTTCAAATGCTGCTCTTATACACCTTATGGGTGCAAGATGACACCATTTCAAATGCTCTTCAAAATAAAAAATAAAACTTATTTCTACAGAGGCTTCTTAGTCTATAAGCATTTTTAGTACTTGCGGTCCTGGGTTGCAACCGCCTCCTCTTAATGTGCATTGGGGATAGTACGTCAAAAATACCCTACAACATCACATTGAGGCTGTATATCTTTCAAAATTGGGACTAATGGGAATAACCGGAGCTCGCTCGTCGGTTCTCCAATTTTGTACACAAAAAAAAAGAACAGAAAATAAAAAAACAGGTAAGAACCACAATGAACTTAGCACAAAACTCAAATGTGCGAGGACCTGGACGACAGCACACATTGGATCAAGCCTGGCTAGGTGATTTTTAGAACACTAGTTTTCATGCTAAGAATAGATAGTAAACTGCTAATAACCTAAAACTTATGAACAAAACCATCCAAGCAACGTCATTATTTTGAAGCCTTAAGAACCAAATGCAATACCGGCTAGTTAAATCGAAACCAGCCGGTTTTGGTTTTAGCCGATTTGAGTGATCTGGCCAGGTATATTAAAAAAATAATAATAATATTTGTTTATAAAATCTTTAAACTAAAAGATTTGTTGTAATTCATTTTTAAATATTCTTTATTATTTTGACAAAGATTGAAAAGTGTGGCAGCCATGAATACGTATTTTTACATTTACCCATCTTTGCAGTATAAAAAGAGATATTGATCACCCTCATTGGTGGGAAAATGCATGCAAGACACAAATCGATTTTTAAAAATTCATGTTTTCCACTAATTTTCAACTTCATTTGAATGTGCTTTATCTCATCATGCTTTAAACATACTTGTACATTTTTTTTTATTTTTTTGTTTTTTTTGTATTTTTTTAACACTTTTAATTGGCCATGACTTGACCCGTTAGGCCGGTCTAACCTGCCAGTTTACCGCCCTTGGGCCGTTTCCGAGTCCAGATGGAGTTTTCAAACACTGCTAAGAACAATTATCACACGAGAGTATAATTCACTTCAACGAAATAAATAATACCCCAAACTGGGTGACACCTGGCGATATCAATACACCTGCAGTAATACATCTCCGGCACAATGACTCAAGATATAGTTAATAATTTCATTCATAACGAAGAGAAAGGGCCATGCACATTTCATTAAGAACTACGGGGTAAGAAGCTCCTCGGCAACAAAAAGCACTAGCATACTGTACAAAATTAAGCTACAAATGAGCCCACGTGAAGGCTCAAATCATTGATTCCCTTCCCGCCACGAATACTCTCAATTTGTGTGCTCAAACCACCGATTCCGTCTCCCTCATGAATTCCTGCCAATGTCAGACCTCACATAAATACTTTGTTGATAATTTACAGTGTACGAAAATTTGACTAAGCATTTTATGGAGTTCATACCATTCTCCTTGCTGCAACTAGCTCCCGCTGCCGTTGTTGCTTTTCACGCAAGCATTTCCCACACCAGCTGGAAAAGTCTTTCTGATACTTCTTCAGCTCTCTGAAAACAGAGCTGTAAAGAGTGGTGGAGCACAAACTTTTATCAAAACACAACACATGGTGGTTTACTTTTATCAAAACACAATACATGAACAGGTGGTTTGATTTAGGAGTGAAAAAAGTTTCAGGAGAACAAAAGAAACCCTAAGTCACATCAGGAAAGATTTATTCAAGGGCAAGCTTCCTAAGCTTCCCCTACAGCATAAAACTTATACACTTCCCCTTATCCAACCGTCCATTCTGAATGGGGATTAACATTGCCCCAATCACAATGTCACATCTCTATACTATTTTATTTTTAATTTTTTCTATAAACTATTTTGACACCAAATTTTGGACATCCAATCCTCTATTAAGCTCGCACTAGCGAAAAATATAGAACAAATATTTCCAATAAAATAAAATGAACAAAATATCCCTGAAACTTTCAAGGGGTATTTTGGTCATTATGTTTATCGAAAAATTATTTTTAATATTTGTTATAGGTGTGCCCCAATAAGAAGATGGCACGTACCAAATTTTATATTCATACAAATAGTATAAAAAAAATTAAAAATAAAATACTTTGAGAGTCGGATCTAAGATCAAACAGTGAGTGGCTCTCTTGATCAAAATTGGACAGCTGGATGGAAGGGGAAGCATAGATCTTCTATGCTGTAGGGGAAGTATAAAAACCTTTCCCTTCATTTAAACCAGTCACTGACAGTTTGAGGGGCTACAAGTGCCATAGCAAAGTCAAAGCAGATACTGATCACCCTCATTGGTATGGTGTCATGCATGAATGCATACATAATAAACAAAATGGTTACTGAGTAAAAAAAAGAGGGACAAACAATTAAACAAAAAAGAATGGTTATTCAGTGACATTTTCACTTGTTGCAACTTTCTCAACCATTTACTTTAAAAAATCCAACAAAATCAAATCCCCAAATAATGCATACACAGTGAAAAGTATGAATTCTTAAAGAAATCAATAGTCTGACAATATGATGGTTTCATGAGAAATTTTGAAGTCATTTGAATTAGACAACTCGGAGAAGATGCTTAGAATGTTACGAGCATCAAACCTTCACAACTAACGAACTATAGACCTTCACATAAATTGGAAACAAAATGTCTAAAATGAAAAAATGAACTATTCACAAAGGCCAAATGTTATACAAGATCTAAACAATTATTAATGGGCACCTAGATGACAGTTGACAATCCCAAACTGGTTTAGAATTTAACAAAATTTGTTCATTCACTTTGATAGATGGAGTTCAAATATGGGGACTCACTTGTTTTGAATCACCTGATATTATATGCCACTTCTCCCAAATTAACCATAAAAAAAAATGAAGAAATGAAAGGATTTTTTCTAATTTTTCTATTTCCAAGAACAAGTTCTTACTTTTTTTTAACCTTTTCAAAACTTTTTATCATCTTTTATATACTTTCTCAAATGTTTATTATTCTATTTGTTTCTTCCAGATTTTTACGAAGTTTTCATGATTTTTTGCATTTTCTTTCTATTTTTTTCCCTTTATTGGCTCAAAGCAAACTCAGACGAGTCAACATGAACTCCACTTAGTAACTCAGCCAGGCCAGGGCCCAATTTCCATGGTCGGAGCAGAGATCAAAAACATTGACTAAGTGCAAAATGGATCATTTCCTGAAGTCAAATTGGTTACATGGGAAACTTCTTACAATGTGTGGGAAATTATTCGCCTACCCATATAACAATGGATTCTTGGTCAAGGTCAAAAGTTACCTCCTACACCATAATAACATATTGACTCGATGTCCAGATGTTGTGGCTTTGGCTCCATGTCGATGACGACCTCTATGAAGTACAGCTTGTCCAGGAATGTGAGGATAGTCATAAATTTCCTGAAGAAGAGAAGCGTCCATTATATCCTCAAGACCAAAAGGAAACAACTTGAGCAAGCGATGACAGGGTCAAAACAATCATAAAGATAAAAACAAAGAAAAGTACAGAATGCAAAGGCAAGTTCATAAAGTGTGGCAAACAATAGTTCTAAATTCAAAAGTACTTCCATGAGAATCAATTACGGTTTAGAGTAGTTAACCAGAATGTAATGAAAAGAGAGAACCAATGAATCCAAAAAAGAATCATACTTGAAAAGTATAAATGACTTGCATCATGATGAGCCAAATCAGATGACGGAAATTTGTGGGAAAGAGGTTAGCAATGGAAGCAACGTGCAGGGCGCCTAATAGGCCTTCCCCGTCAAGAGTTTCTGACATCCTATATCGATTTACTTGCAAGCTACTCGAACTTCCAGAAAGTAGTTACCAACTAGCCCCGCTCTCTCCCAAGTACCTTCCCTTGACTAATAACTCAATCCCCTTGCTCTTCTCACTTGAGAACTTCACCCTATCGATGGTGATGCAGCACCTGACACTAGGTTGCGCACCCTAACCTACAATGGTCACATGAGGATTTAAACTACCAAACAGCTATGGTCACATGATGGTTTTAAGTTAACCTTTCTCAAATAAAAGAAACCACCTAACAGCTATGACAAAGCAAATTGGGGCATGTTTCCTTTAAAGGCCTTGAGAGCATATAAAAACTATGACTAGGTACTCCAATGAGAATGTTCTCCATGTGAGAACGAAGAGACATGCTTCGTAGTGCACATCAACTCACCCCGGTTGGATGATTTACGCCCAAAGTGGAGTCCAAAACCTTTTATCCCTGGTTATAAGGCACAATTGTGCAGTTTGCAGGATAAGCCCTTGTTGAGGTCGGAGAGAGCCCCGAGTGGTTAGCCAGGAAGTTGCCAATCTTCTGTATGTGGTTGACGGCTTGTAGGCAAGGGTCAAATCCTCAACATTACCACCACTTGACATTTACATATGATAGCCACATCTATGGGAAGCGACCCATTGGGATAAGACATGTACATGTGCCGAAGAGATACCCACTGCACCATTGTGATAGTCTACACGTCTAAAAATGACTTATCCTTTGGGGGGGAACCTGTAATCCACACACTAGGCCCATGTTCCCTCTATTTATTAGCCAGCTTTGAAGGACCAAACATGAGCCTCTGCAATAAACTATAAATGGTTTGAGAAGAGAGACTGTGGACTATGAGAACTAGCATAGGTGGAGTGCCTAAGTAATTTCACATATTCCAAACGCGATGGATCCACCTCTTTTAATTATGCTTATCTATGTTTAAAAAATTCATTAATCACAAAAATGAGTTTTTAAAGTGCATTACAGATTTTATTTGTGCAACGCAAACTTTAATAAAAAAATAAATAGGATTTTCAACATTAAAACCTTAACGAGTCAATTCAAAAATACCTAGTGGGGATTAAAAATTCTTTTTGGCACAAAAAAATAGGTCTAACCCACATGGGTTTCCATCTTTTAGGCAATCCAAAATGGAGTGTATTAAGTACTTTGGAGGTGATCCAAAGCATCTTTTAACGGTAACGGCTTTCCATGTTCTTGCTTATTTTTCTTCTTGTAACTTTCTAATTGTTTATGAGTGGAAGAGTTTGATCGAAGGTAGCAAGTGAGGATTTGTAATAGATTTGTAATAGATTTGTTTTATTTTTTTTGGATTGTAAGTGGAATTCATGAGAATACTCGGTAGTTACTGAAAAACAAATTATCACATATACTGTGTGTTCTACATCGCCGCCTTCAGCATATGCATCTGACCTCCCCAGGGCAAGCGTGTGCTGATATAATGGCCATAGGCCACCCGTTTGAGGGTGACATGCGCATAGCTTGCCACTAGGTAGCCCAAATCACTATAAGCAGTATAATGATGCTAGGTCAGTGGAAACCTCTTACCCAGACTCATGAAGAGCATCTAGAGAATATGTGTTCCTAGAGCAATAAAATAGGCTAGAGTGATTTGTTACTTGCATTGTTGGTCCATATATGTGATAGGCCTCAGAAGTAGGTTTAACTTGGACTAGTAAGTATAACACTTGGGACCAAAATGAATGGCGATGTAGAAACTCCCACCCCAACAACTACCCCCCCCCCCCCCAAAAAAAAAAAACAAAAACTAACGACCCAACCCAACAAAAAAAAAAAAGTAATAATAATAATAATGGCAATGATAATGATGATGATAATAATAATGATAATAATAATAATAATAATGTAGCACATATGCTTAGGTCTTCAATGTTTTCATTTTTAGCTTTGTACAAGGAATATTGTCTTGTAATATCTTGGTCACTCTTAAGATAACAATGGAATGAATTGAGCATTCTCATAGTCACTACAATAAGCTTTGAGTTAAACACCTAGAATTAGGCCACAAATAGCTACCTACTAGTATGACCTAAGGTTCCTTCTCATGATATGTAACTTATATTTGAAGGCACTACATGCAAGCCAAATGCAGCTTCCACATGTTATGCCTTTACCTCATACATCATATGATGACTTGAACATTGCGAAAACCAGATGCAATCCCTTACCTCTATGAGGTGTGATCCTACTTATTGGCAAGTGGTTCATAACAATTTGCAAAAATGAAACTGTGGCACTTTAAAAGGTGCTCATGTCTACACGTTAGATGACTCAATAGCCCAAAACCAGTAACCAAAGGCAAACAATTAAAACGAAAATCTTTTTAGCGCTTAAAATAAAGCAAGTACAATGTGGAGACGTTTACTCTTGGGTCCGGTATAGCCGGCCCTCTTAGACCTCTGGTTTATAGGATACCAGGGATGCCCCTGTTCTTTAGGATGGGCGACAGTATCAAACGGGGTGAGGGCGACCCTCAAGCCAGTCGAAGAACCTAGTTTCCCAGAGCAACCAGAGTATACTCAAGACCTGCCTGACCCTCAACCGCTATGAGGTTGAGAACCATAAGTGAAAGGTTCTAAGTTTGGGGTACTTGGAAGCTTTTGGGTCTCTTTTTTTTTTTTCTGGAATTGGGCTTTCTTGAATTTGAGGCTTTCGAGGGGTTAGGCCTAAGAGTGAGAAGTTCTTGGGGAGTTTTATGCTCTTTTGGGAGTTGAGGGGTACTTTGGGGATTTTAGGAAGATGCAAGTGTAAATTGGATAGCATGGAAGAGGCTCTTAATCTCAATTTTCCAACCCATGAAAATGAGGTGTACATGGCTTTATAGAACGATGACAGATCATGAGGGCGGAAAATTAAAAATGGGGTTAAACATGGAGGATTACCAAAAGTCAATTCAATCGATCTACCCTTAAATACGACAAAAAAGAACACCGAAAATTTGGAATATTCAATGGTTTTCCCTTTGGGAGGCTTCCCTCTCCAGCCACCACCAAAACCCATCAAATTGGGGATGGTTTTTCCACTATGTTGGCCTAAATTTCTTCCATGAAATTGCCGAAGATCTCGTTGTGATAATTTTGAGACAAGTTTGAGCGAAAATACCGCTAAATTTGACGAGTTATGCCCCAATTGTATCTTGACTTTCCATTTTTGGCAAGATTTTTTTATGCTTCTTCCATGGCTCCTCAATGCACCCTTGTTTGACTTCATTCGACGATCAGCCACCAAATTCCAGTAAAGGATCTTGAGATCATCATTTTGTGTGATTTTTCGCTCAGGAGATTGTTGTTTGGCTGAGTTATGACTACTTTATTTCTGTCCATTTTTGGAGACTGCAATGCCAAAATCTTCAAGCAACTTCCCTCTTTCTCCCTCAATTCGACTTTTATCTTTAAATGTCTGTACACCGGTATGAGCAATGCTGAGTCAAGAATCACCCTGTCAAATTTCAGTCAAAAATACTTCTCGGATCGTGAGATATTGATCTAGGAATGATCAAAGGTTATAGGGGCTGCAACTTTTTCAATAATTTCAATCGCCGTTCTGTTTTCCCTCGAATTAGCCATGATTTAGTCAAGGAACCCCCTTGATATGTATATGAACAGCAAGGCCATGTAACAAGAACAACATACTGAATTTTGAGCCCCTTTAATCATGGCAAGATATCGCTCTGTCAACTTGCCCAATAAATTTTGTGAGCTGCTGCAACTCCCATAGCTTGCTAGACCATATGACTTACAATGGTCCTTCTGGAAAAAGATTGATGGTCCATTTGTGGTCTGTCCAAGAGAACCTTAGAATAGATACTTCTGAACCCCAGATCAGGCTGACAATTGGAGGATATGGTTTTCTTATTGAATTTTCTTTCCACAAAATTTCTAGCCAATTTGGCCACCTTTTTCTTAAGGGTGCTTAGTCAAAGTAGGTCGAAATAGTGTGCACCCTCATTACATAGCTATAATGGCCATATCTCATTCATTTGACCACCAATCGAGCTCAAATTTGGAACTTAGCCTTTTCACAACATATATTTCCTTTTGTAAGGAACTGCAGGGCATTTTGGTTTGTATTTGGTGGGGGGCGCCTTTGTAAAAGGTGCTTTTGGGTTAGTATTTGGTGGGGCCCCTTTGTGAAAGGTGCTTTTCATTTATGTCGCTAACTTACTGCTATACTTTCGACAGTCTTTTCCATATATGCAACATTCAGTTATTCACTAAACTTATGTCCAATACTTAGGTACCATTTTGATTTCCAAATCTGAAAAATTTCCAAGTTGTATTTTCTCCAATTGCAGATTGAGGAATTCTTATTTGTTGTATATGGCGTTTGATAGGTTTGTTTGAGCTATAAATGGGAAGAGTTCCATTTGGTTGGGATATTTATATATGATGAAATTTGATAAGATGCCCATTTAATAGAAATTCAGAACAAATAGAAAGAAAATAATAATAACAGTTTAAATTATAAGATATACAAAAATAATAAAAAAATTTGTTTAACCAGTTAGAACCAATTGGTCCAACCTGCTAAATCAATCAAACATTGGTTTGACCAATTTTTTGCCAAAACCGGTTTTTGG